GATGCTTTCTCTCAGCAACACCTTTCTGAGCTTGTGTATAAGGACAACTGGTTTGGTGAATAATACCATGAGAAGAGAAAAGAGAAGCAACCTTCTTGTTAACAATTTAGTACCTCCATCAATTCTTAAAATTTTAAGAGAAGTATGAAACTGATTTTCGGCATAGACTTTAAACTCAAGCAATTTTTCATAGACCTCACTTTTAAAATACAAGGGATAGATCCAAGTGAATCTACTACAATCATCAACAAACAAAACATAACATTGAAATGGAGCATTATTAACAGTAAAAGGTCCCCATACATCAGCATGAACAAGAGAAAAGGGACTATCACTAGAAGAACAAGACAATTTGAAAAGAAGTCTATGACTCTTAGACACATAGCAGTCAGTGCAGTCTATGGTTTTATTAAAACTCTTTTGATTTGGAAGATGTGGTGCCAAATGTTGTAGCTTGAGAATAGAGGGATGACCCAATCTTTGATGCCACGACAAATCAGAGATTGGAGAGACTGAACCAGTGGAAACAGTGGAAGACTGAAAAGCATGTGCTTGCTTGGAACATATAGAAGATGATGGAGACAACTGATAAAGGCCATTGATATTTGAGCCTTTATGCAGGACCTGTTTCGTATGTTTGTCTTGAATGACAAAAGAATCAGAATAAAAAATAACAAGACAGTTATGATCCTTGGTTAATTGATGAACAGATAAGAGATTGGACGATATAGAAGAAACATGCAAAATATTGGAAAAATGGAAAGAAAATTGAAGTGTTGGCAGGATATCATTCCCAATATGTTGAATAGGCAAAACTGAGCCATTTCCCACTGTAACTTGATCTGAACCTTGATAAGCTTGATATTGCTGAAAATTAGTCTAATCATGTGTGAGATAAGTTGTGGCTGCTGAATCGATGTACCAATGAGGAAAAGTGAAATCTGAAGAAGAAGAAGAAGAAGAAGAAGAAGATACAGCAGCAGCATAGGCCTTTGGAGGAGCAATGGAAGAACGCTGATAATGTGGATCAAGTCACTACCAACAATCCAAAGCAAGATGACCTGATTTGCCACAGATCTAACAAACAAATGGAGAAGTACTAGGATAAGCTGATCTAGATCGATTGTTAGAGAATCGATTATTAGATCTGTTGCCACGAAAATATCCACCACCTCTGCCTCCTTTGTGCTGGGATCTACCACTGAAATTACTACGATGATGTGATTCAAAGTTGGAGTGTTGTGCTTCAAATCCAGAACCAGAAACAGAACCTGAATCAAAACCAAAACCGGAAGTGGAACCTTTGGTTGTTGAATAAGCAACATGCAAATCAGTTTTAAAAGAATGCTTGATCTTGTTTTCGATATGAATCTTTTCTGAGCCAAGTAAGGAACATAACTCTTCCATAGATACAGCATTAGATCTAGTACGAATTAATGTTTTGAATGCATCATATTCATCTGGTAAGCCATTTAAGGTAAGAAGAATAAGATCTTCATCATCAACTTTTGCACCAAACAAAGCTAATTGATCTGAGACTTCTTTGATTTGTGAAAGATAACATTCAATTGAAGAAGATTGCTTTCGAATCATATGAAGTTTGTTCTTCAATTGATGAATGCGATACCTGGGGACAGAAGTAAATTTCCTTTCAAGTGTTTTCCAGACTTGCAAGCTACTTTGAAGATGAAGAACAGATGAATATACTAAAGAAGAAAGTGTTGCAGTGAAACAAATGAGAAGATTGGCATCAATTGCTTCCCATTGAATATATGCAGGATTGGAAACTGACTTTCTAGATGCATCAGTAATTTCGGATGGAGGACAAGGTATTGCACCAGTCACATATCCAAGAAGACTAGTGGCTCGAAGAATATTATGGAGTTGATTTCTCCGTATCAAAAAATTATTGGAATCAAGTTTGACAGTAATAAGAGAACCAAAATTTGACAGAAGAGATTGAAGACTTGAAGATAAAGAAGCATGATCTTCCATGGATGGATCTTGAATTATTCTCATGAGAGCTCAAACCTTTGATACCATGATGAAAATTGTAAATCTATTTCTTATTGATTCAATAGTCCAAATACACACAGCTCAAGATATTATATAGTGCAAGTGCTCCAACCCAGTTAACAAACAGCTCTAACTAACAAACGTTACAACTGTATATATAACTGTTACAGATATTATTTGGAGAGTATCGATTGAAACATGACTGTGACAGATAAGATATCAATGCTGACTTCTCCTCTAGCTGTCGTGAGTTAGACTGCAGCTTTGGCTCTTCCTTTGACTGTGATTGTGGCAACTGAGTTTGAATATTATGACACAAATCTTTTGTCCTTTACCTTCATTTTTTTTTATTCAATGAAAAAAAAATGCGAAGGGCCTCAGAAATTTATCAATTGATTATCAACTTTGAACCCCGGAAATCTTAGGGCCGGGCTATGAAGATGTTCAAGATTGTCGAATAATACCTGCTCACAAACCCAAATGTCTGTGCTTGAACCCAAATGGTACTTCTGGATTACTTCTACATGTGTTTTTCTGTATTTGAGTTACTTGAAAAGTCACTTTAACTTGAAAATAAGAATGGTCTACACTCAATTTCATTTAATTATTTTGGGGGAAAAAAATGCTTCCATTTGTCAATAAAATCCATGATGTTAAGGGTATATGATTTTGACAAGTTCAAAGTGAATTATACATCGGCATTGTTGTTCTATTGTCATTGTTGATTGTTTGTGCTTTTGATATTTTTTCTATGGACTTTCTATAATCAATGGAAAAATGTTTTTAAAGTTGGTAAAAAACTTATTTTTTGATTTTTTTTTTAGTTTTTTTTTTCAAAAAAAATGTGTAAAAATAAATAAATAAATAAGTGATATGACTCTAAATAAATTAAAATCCAAAATTTGACTTTTGGCCATCAATCCAAAATAGCTCTCTATAATTGTCTAGTGTTTATTAAAAAATGCAACAATATGAATTATAAGTACAATGTCGATTTATTTGAAAACACCATACTGACTATATTAAGCGAAACAGCGATGTTTTTATAAAAAAATATTTCCCCCCTACATTTGACATAAAAAATATTTCCCCCTACATTTGACATAAACTCCATGAATATGAGTATATAAAAACAATTTAAAACAACAGTGTATAAGCTCTATTTATTTTTAATCAACGGGATTACCTTGTTTAATAAGTAGGTCTATAGTAAATTAATTTTTTACTTGTAAACCCAAACTTCCACATTAATTTCTCTTAGCCTGCTACTTGAAAAATTCCTTGGTGCTGGGAGAGTACCCTACACAATTGGCCTCTATAATAATAGTGACACTTTTATCAATCCCCCACCCGCCATACGGTTTCTATTTTTCTCTCAAACCGCACCGACCCGCACCGCGCACACCCCTAGCTGGGAGAGTACCCTACACAATTGGCCTCTATAATAATTAAAATAATAATCTTAATAAATTATAATTAATATATCCATAAATCATAATAAAAAATTATAAAAAAAATCAAAATTGAACATATGATATGCTCGTTATTTTTTGAGTATATATTATAATTTTTTTATTTTTTTATAAAATTTTAAGTACTTCCAGTCTTTCATCGTACACTACCCATCAATTTTATCGGATGGACTGTTTTGGCAACATGCCAAAAAAATTAAAAGTCAACTTTTAACCTATTTTAAATCATATCACCTCTCATATGAAACAGTAAAAAAGTCAAAAAAATTCAAAAATTCAAAAATTCAAAAATTCAATCTTTAATAATCTTCTCAAAACACCCCATTATATACCAATTGACCATCATTTTCTCGAAATTTTGTGCAAGCTACGATATTCCCGGCACCGACTTTTCATAAGAAATATTATTAGATTTTACAAAGTAAAATATGTCTATTATAATAAAAGTTAGAAAAACTGTATGATGTCAGAAAAGATATCAAAATTTTAATTAGAATTTTAGATTTATGATATAGATTAAAGTCTTTTTATGAGAAGTCACATTATATTGATTATTAATATTTTTATGGTTTATTTATTTATTTATTTGAGATTGTAGCATTGTTGTAAACGTTAAATATTTTATTGCTTTGGTGACAAAGTTCTATATTATATAACTAGCGTTTTCTACTCATGCAAATACGTGAAGGAATTTTTATTGATAAATCTTATTTAGAAGTTTTCTAATTTAAGAAATTTATGAAGAAATTTTTTAACCCACTTAATCTCATATATTTATATTTTTATTCGCTAAAGTTTTTTTTTTTTTTCTTGATTTACACTATTTTCTTAGACTCTTATACCCTTATATTTAATATTGATATTTTATGTTTGGGGGGGAGAGAAAAGGGAAAAGACCAAGGTATAGGAAATTTCATACACAAATTAAATAACATTGATGTCATTATTTTATATTATTATATAATGTGAATATATTTTTAACTGACAACACATTAAAAATAATGTGAATATTTTCTCTCATCTGATGTGAATATATTTTTAATTAACAACACATTAAAAATAATGTGAATATTCTCTCTCATCTGATGTGAATATATTTTTAATTAATAACACATTAAAAATAATGTGAATATTTTTCCTCATCTGATGTGAACGTTCACAACACCTTTCAGAAAAATTTTCTTTCATTTAATGCAGTGATATGAACGTTCACAATATGTGAACCTTCTTATTTTTAATTGACAACACATCAAAAATAACGTTCATTATATTTTTAATTGACAACATATTTTTATTCACGACATGTAATGATGTGAACGTTTACAACATGTGAACATTCTCTCCATCTAATATAGTGATGTGAACGTTCACATTCGTATGTTTTAATATGAATATTCACATCATGTAATTGACAACACAATGACAAAATTTTTTCCTTTTTTTTAACCCATAGAATTAATTAAGTGGTTTTTAAAATATCCATAGGATGGGTCCGGAATGGGTACCCGCCCATTTCCCCACAAGTTAGGGTTCTCTTTCTCAATCTCACTCTCACGGTTTCTCATTTCCATTCTCACATAGCAGTGAAGGCAACAATCTCCATAGGTTTTGCGAAGGCAACGATCTAGCGGCGGCGATCTCCGTCGGCGTTACCACGGTGGTTCTCCGGCGTGGTGAGTTTCTCTCTCTCGTTCTCTCATTCTCTCTTTCTCTCTTGTTCTGTGTGTGTTTACAAATTCATCTATTCGTCACTTTCTCAACTTCCAAACAGAGTTGTTGCTTCACAGAGTTTTTGGCACTCTTTTGCAATTGGTGAAACCTGTCTAAGAGACCTACGCATCAATCAGCAGAAAATACGGTTAGCTTCACAGAGTTATTGCTTTGATTCATGGAAATTTTAACTCAGTGTTGTTTAAAGCTATGGATTTAAATCAGTTGTGAATTCTGATGCATTTGGAAATTGTTAGGTTTGATTTCTCATGTGGAAGATGAAATTGATTTACTGTCTATTTATTTTCTTGGGACTTTGCAATGTTATGTTATGTTATGTTATGTTAAAAGGGTTTAGGGTCAAAATAGATTGCATAAAAGCTTGTTACAAAAATGGCAATTGCCTCTGCAAATGATCAAGATCAATATAGCTACTCCTTAAGTTTTTAGGCAAATAGGTTATCTCTGTTTTGATGATTGGTTGCCTTATATAGTCAAAATAAAATGAGTGTTTTAACATTTCCATTGAATAAGAAGAGAAAGAGAAGAGAATGTTGAGTGGAAAGTTGATCCCTTTTAGCTTGTAGAGACAGAAATAGGGGTTTTTAGAGAGAGAGAGAGAGAGAGAGAGAGAGAGAGAGAGAGAGAGAGAGTCTTGGGATTTTAGGGATTGTTTCAGGTACTAATCCAATCTTTCAATTTTACTTTCATCAATTATTGATCAATACTGTTGAATTTTCACTTTGTTGTGTTGATCAGCTATTGAATTGGCTAATGCTCCTCTGTTCATGTAAAACTAATAAAAGAATGGATCCATTCTCCTAAGATCTGAAAAAATAAAATAAAATAATGAAAGAAAAGAAATAATAAGCCCCATATTTTTAGTGTAATTACACCGACATCTCTTTTAGTAAGGTAAAGTAATTGGAATTAATGGACATAATGGTGTGAAGACACAAATAAACAAAGTAAAGAGGGAATTTGACATCACTACCTCAGAGAACATAGCTCATAATTGTAGAGTTAATGGAATTTCTCCCGTCCTTCCTCACATTAAGCGTGAGTTCTTTTTCTCTTTCATACGATAAGGAAGATAGATCCAAGAAAATATTGGTGAGGACTATCAATAAGATTTGATGCTTTTGACCTTCATTCTCATGATTGGTGGAATTTTTTTATTTATTTTTTTTCATTGTAAAATTAGACTTAGGGAATGAACAATATGACATGATAGGTATAGTAGATCCCTCGTTTGTATGTCTTTTAACTTTGCTCAATTGTTTGATGGATTGGGATCTGGTTATTGCTAGCGATATTTTATTGTGTAAGTTCTTAATCTGAAATTGGCTTCTAAACATTTGGAAATGTACTTTACTATGAATAGGCAATCTGACTTTGACTCAATACACCAGTATGTCAGACATATTTTCATCACTCTATTGTTAATGGAAAGACATTAAAGAATATAGGAAGTCTGGAGAAATGAGCTATAACTTTAGAAACAACATCGTGTATATATTTTTCTCTCAATCTTGCTGTCATTAGGAAGGTGGATTCTCCATCTCCATCTGAAATTGGCTTCTTAACATTTGTATATATTTTTCTCTCAATCCGTTCTTTTCTCTCAGGTACAGTGGTCCCAAAGAGTGCCAATTCTCAAGCCAAAGGAAGGTGGATTCTCCATTGCCAATTACTTTCTTAATTAGGGGTATAGCTTCTCTTCTTAAACTGAAAAGTTTCCTCACTGTCAAAGACACATTAGAAGGGACTTGCATAGTCCTGAAGCATCTAGATTTGATAATATATGTGTGAATCCACTTTACCCATAGGATATTTGACTTTTTGCATATAGCCCAAAGAAGTTTCATAGTTGTAGCTTGATTCTAATGAATGATTGATTTAATTCACAGAACTCCCCCATTTTTTGGACAGAAAACTTGTTCCCAACTTACTTTAGCATATGTTAAGTGGTTTTCAACCCCTAACCAAAGGAAGTCTCTCGTAATGGCTTCTATTTCTTTCAAGATTTGCTAAGGAAGGATAAAAACGAAGGACCAATAAACTTATATGCTGCTGAAAAGAACAGATTGATCAAGTTGGAGCCTACCACCATAAGACAGAAATTTAGTTGTCCAACTGTTGATTCTATTCATCATTCTTTTATTAAGTTGCTCACACTCTGCAGCTTTTAGTTTATAGAAAATCAGAGGAAACAGTAAATAATTAACCGTCAATTTCCCTTCTGGTATTGGCAAAATGGATAAAAGATCAGACTTAGTTAGATTCATTACTAACTCCACAGAGGAAGGGAAAAAGAAAACTTATGTTTCTGAAGATTAGGTTGTAGGCCAGATAGAAGATGGAACTGAGATAACATACTCTTAATGATTTGGAAAGAGCCCCTGTTAGCTTCACATAGAATGAATAGATCATCAGCAAATGCCAATTGAACCTAACATTTCCAATGGAAAGTAAAACCACCTTCTCTCACTCTTTGCTGCAGCATTCTATAGAAACACTCCATCACAATTGAGAAACAAGTAGGGGGACATAGGATCACCTTGCCTTGGACCCCCTTTTTGCCGGAAAATAATCAACTAATTCTCCATTTATTACTACTGAGCACATAACAGTGGAAATGCACACCTTAATCCAGCCAACAAACTGAGCAGGGAATCCCATGTGTCATAGATACCAATAACAAATTCCAATCTATAGAGCCATAGGCCTTGATTAAATCAATTTTGAACACACACCTTGTTGGTCCTTCATTTCTGTGATAAACTCTAACAACCTCTTGCATCAATAAAATGTTATCAAGTGAGTAGCAAGCTTATCCAGAACATAACTTTGGATGCTGCTCTAATCTTACACCTCATCCAGGGTGGAATGGAAAAAAACACATATATAGACATGGGAGATTTTGTTTTTTGTTTTTCCTCAAAGTTATTTCTCCCCTTTTCCACAAACCTTGTCCCAGTTATTTATTTTGGTTGAGTCACAAAGTTGATTGTCTTTTAGCCAAACTAGAAATTAGACAAATTTGGGATGCAAGGAAGTGATACGTATGGCTGCATTTCTTTAAAATTATTGATATATTTTTAGCTCTTCTCCTTTCTGTCTAAATTGGAGAGGGGTTGTTGAAAATTGGATTGGCAACAAAACTGCAAGAGCCTCTATAGCTTGTAAATACCAATGTAATTCTTTTTCTAGTTTTCTTCTTTTTCTAAAAGTCAAAGTCAAGTCTCTAAAAGTATAGTTTTCATTTTGCATTTCAAGAAGGTGATTCTATTTCTTTCAGGTTTCTGTCTGGTGGGTTTTGTGCTTTTTTTTTCTTCTTCTTTTTGTTTATTTTTTTTTTTAAGTTACTACAGAAATCTATCTATAGATTCTGTAAGTGTTTGATGCCATGTCTTTATGTCTGTTTTATTTTATTTTATTTTTGTTTCTTTCAATATTATTTATTTTGTGGAGTACCAAAGACTCATGTGTGCTGATTTGGATGACTACTGAGCTTGTAGATCTGTGATTATTCTCCTGATCAACATAGAAGCTTTGATGGAACTAGTAACTCTTTGGTAAGTTACTATAAATATTTTCTTTCATATCAGTAATTTCAGTTAAAAAAAATAAATATAAATATATATTTGTAGTGCTGGTCATGGGTAGAGGATATTCTTGAGAGAGAGAGAGAGAGAGAGAGAGAGAGTAGCTGATGATGATGCATAAATTACTACATAAAGGTAATTTCTCTTACCCTTAATGTATGCACTTATTGCTATTGTAAGGTGACAGATCCACCAATGAACTCTCGCCCATCTTTATTTTTAGATTTTAAAAAAATCATGAACATGTTTATAAATAAAAAATAAAAAATATTCCTTATCAAAGAGGATTTGATCAAGGTTTTTGTTGGGTACAAATTCATAAACAAGGCGGTCTGGACCTTCAATGGTACAACCCAAAAGTCTTACAAGGTTCTTGTGTTGAATTCCACTTATCAAATTTACTTCATTGAAGAAGTCATCGACCCATTGTCATGAATCAAATGTATCTCAATGCTATATTGTATTTTCAAGCTATTAAATATATTCTGGCATTAGTGATAGTGATATATGATATTCTTGCAATCTTTTGGCATCTTCTGTTATCCGTGTTGCTTTATCATCAAGGATCACATCAACACTTTAAAGTTTTGGATTGTTATATGCATTTCTACTAAATTGGTTTATAAAATAAAATTATTTATATGTGAGTTTAGATGTAATTCATAATATATTAATGTTTTCCTTGTTTAATTTTTTTGCAGATTGGTTTCTGATGACGTTTATTAGAAGCATACTTGCAAATCAAGATCAAGTGTTGAATTTTTTTTCTTGAACTGATTCTTAGTTCTAGTTTTAAACCTAGTTGACTGATATTTTTTTTGTTGGACTTCGCGTTAGTTCATTTTGGAATTTGTTATGATGGTTTTTTTTATTATACTTAATGGATTATTATTAAATTTGTTTGATGGATATATTTTCATTTATGATATAAATTGTTTAGTGAATTATTTTGTGGAGTGGTGTATAATAGTTAGTGGATTTTTTAGTACATTTAAAAGGCTATTGGGATATGAGTAGGGATATTTGTGAAATAATAATTTAAATTGAAATATAAAATATGAAACAAGTTCAGTGATGAATTTTTTTGTCATTTATACTTGTTATTATGACAAAGTGATTATTCGTCGCTAATAAACATTTTTTGTGACAAAATTTATTGTAGTTTATATATGAAATATTTCATTGATTTTGTTGTTTGGTGACTAAAAATTTCGTCACGTATATATATATTTGTGGCGAAATATATTTCGTCACCCATGTATGACTTTTGAAGACAAAAAATTTCGTCACCTTTACATCTTACTGTGGCGAAATTATTTCCTCATCAATGATCAACATGTGTGACAAATTTATTCGTCAACTAAAGTTAAAAATATGGTACTGAATAACTATTTAGTGACGAAAATGAGAATTTTATATGACAAAATGTTGTTTTATTGGTGATAAAAAATTTCGTCACTGAAGTAATTTCATTGGTGACGAAATTATTTTTTGTCACGGTGGTTTTTAGTGACAAACATTCAATGACGAAACCGGTGACGAAAATATTTCCTCACAAATATCTATAGTGACGAAATTAGCTCTTTGGAGACAAAAAAATTTCGTCATTTAAGACCCAACTTGTTGTAGTGTTGATTGATATTAGGCTTCATTTGGGATGTGAGTCGTCTTTTTAATTATTTTAGCCTTAGACTAAAATGTCTCGTTTGGAATAGACTTTTTGATTTTTTTTATTTTTGTAAAAGAAAATAGTGAAATGATTAAGGTTTGAATGTGACATTTTGTCTTATTAACTTTTTAGTTTATTTTGTCTTTTTGTAACTATTTTAGTCTAGTAACCCTTCAACTCACATGCCAAATGAGGACTAAGTCGCTAAATTAATCAAGTTTATCATTTTTACTTCTAAAAGTATGACACACGTCGCTCATATTCGTATTTGCCATAAAAATCTAACATTTGGAAAAAATTAGATTAATTTGAAACAAAATAAAAATCAAAATTGATCCAATTAAAATTAAAAGGACCAAAATAATAGAAATGGCCAAAGTAATTTGCCCTTTTTTATTCCTTGATGAATGGATGAAATTTTTTGAGTTTCACCACCGAAACGGTTTTATGTCTGATCCAATGTTAGATCCAATTTGATAGCTCCCATCTTATGTTAAGAAAGTGGCAGTAAGGCTTAAACTGATGATGATGATGAATAAGCTAATAGAAAGGCAGACCTTATTATCAATAAACTTGAGAAATTAAAAATAAGCACAAGAAGTAAACGGTCAATCATCTTAGAAGGCTACTCAATATATGGATAATGAAATAATGCATCAAGGCCACACCCCCCTCCCATAGAGAGCTGTAATATTATCATTCTACAATGGATGGCGTTGTTGAATATTATAATTAAAGGATTAGTATAAGAATATTTGTATTATGCCAAACGATGCCTTGATTCTAGTCTATAAATACCCATTCTCTCAATGCATTTATTCATCAGCCGCAACCAACTGATTATAGCATTTGCTACAACAATTCCTTCCTTCCTTCATTCCTTTCTTCAAATAGCCTAAAAGAGAAATGGGTGTCACCACTTATACCCAAGAGTTCACCACCTCAGTAGCACCCAATAAGATGTTCAAGGCATTGATTCTTGACTCCCACAATCTCATCCCTAAGCTTCTCCCTCAATCCATCAAGAGCATCGAGTACGTTCAAGGCAATGGCGGTCCTGGAAGCATCAAGCAAACCAACTTCCATGAAGGTAGATTTCTCAATACTTTTCAAATTTTACACTTTTTCTATAAATTGGTCATTATAGTTGGGATGCTAAAAGAAGTGTTTAGGCTTAAAAACGAGTGCAATAACAATGATTGTTTTTTTGTCTGTGCCATGATAGGGAGCCACATGAAATGCTTGAAGCATAAGATTGATTCACTTGACATCGAGAACTATCAGTGCAAGTACACAATGATTGAAGGCGATGTGTGTTGGGTTGGATTTCCATCCTATGTGGAGGAAGGCCCAAAACATTTAGTAAGCCCATGTGAATTTCAAAGCCCACATGGAGAGGTTATGTTTTTTGAAAAGATCTGCCCATAAGTTTAGGATTACAAACCCTTTCTCTGCACACAAAAAGAGACATAGATGCTGCCACCAAAATAGAGAGGAGAGGAAAAATTCTGTCCAGCAGTGATCAAACTATCCGATCAACAAGAATCTGTGGTCCGATTGAGCTGAAATTTGGTAGGCGAGTTCACAACTCAAGACTCTAAATTCTGGACGGTGGAGATCAGATTTGGAGTTTTCTACTGCTGGTTTTGGCCCATGAACAGTACCGTTTTTGGTGAGTTTTTCCTAAACTTTGTAGTTTGATCTTTGGTTGCCAAGGAAGCTTATTTGTAAGTTGTTCTTGATTGTTTGCCTCTAGTTCTATCTAGAGAGAACTCTTGTATACCCATTATTTGTTTATAGTGGAGATATTTGGTGGACTACGGTCCCGTGGTTTTTCCTTTCCACATCGGGAAGGTTTTCCACATTAAAAATTTGTTGTCGTCTTGTTGTGTGATTGTTGGATCATCGCTTTCAGATTATTTTCAGAATATATTGTGCTCTATTAAATTACTTCCTAATAGGTTCACACAAAGAGGGAGAATAAACTACTTCCGCTATTTTTGTGCCGGATTCGGATATTTCGAATTGGTTTTTTGTTTTGTTTTCTCCCAACATAGTGGTATCAGAGCTTGGTTCATATTTTTGTGCATCTTGTGTTGAATAATGGAAGCAAATTTGAGTAGAATGGTTACCTTGAATGGTTCTAATTATCACACATGGAAAGGAAAAATGGAAGACCTCCTTTATGTGAAACAATTTCATCTACGCCTCCCAAATTTCAGCTCAATCGGACCACAGATTCTTGTTGATCGGATAGCTTGATCACTGCTGGACAGAATTTAATGTTTTGAATCATATTAGTGGAGAGACACATGCCCGTACACTCTGGAACAAACTTGAACAATTGTATGCTCGAAAGATTGGAAACAATAAAATGTTTCTAATAAAGCAATTGATGACCTTGAGATACCAAGATGGAACCCCATTGACAGATCACTTGAACACTTTTCAAGAAGTAATTAATCAGTTGGCTGGAATGGGTATCAAGTTCGACAATGAGGTACAGGGGTTGTGCTTGCTTGGTACATTGCCGAACTCTTGGGAGACATTTAGAATGTCATTGTCTAACTCGGCTCCAGATGGTGTAATCAATATGGATCTAGCTAAGAGCAGTATTTTAAATGAAGAGATGAGGAGGAAATCACAGGGATCTTCTTCACAGTTAGAGGTTTTGGTTACAAAAAGGAGGGGGAGAAGCAAGAGCAGAGGTCCGAAGAACAGAGATAGAGGTAGAAGCAAGTCCAACAAGTTTGCTAATGTTGAGTATTATCATTGTGGCATGAAAGGGCACATCAAGAAACAGTGCAGAAAATTGAAGAAAGAGAACAAGGAGAAAGGGATTGAGCATGATGGAAAGGATAATGATCAAGTTGCCACCGCTACTTCCGAAGACTTTCTCATTGTTTATGATGAAGATGTTATTAACATAGCATGCCATGAGACCAACTGGGTGATTGATAGTGGTGCCTCTATTCATGCTACATCTCGAAAAGATTTCTTCACATCCTACATACCTGGTGACTTTGGTTCAGTAAAGATGGGTAATGATGGCTTGGCCAAAATTATTGGTGTTGGAGACGTGCACTTGGAGACGAATAATGGCACGAGGTTGGTTCTTAGAGATGTAAAGCATATTCCTGATATCCGTATGAATTTGATTTCTGCAGGTAAACTTGATGATGAAGGGTGTTGCAACACTTTCAGTAATGGTCAGTGGAAGCTCACTAGGGATGCTATGGTTGTGGCTCAAGGCAAGAAGCATTCTACTTTGTACGTAATGCAAGCAAGGCTCCCCAAAGAAGCTATTAATGCAATGTATGATGAGTCTACAGTGGAATTATGGCATAAAAGGCTTGCTCACATGAGTGAGAAAGGCCTGGCAACATTGGCTAAAAAGAATCTTCTGTCTGGAATGAAGAATGCACTTTTGAAAAGATGTACTCACTGTTTGGCAGGAAAGCAAAATAGAGTTTCCTTCAAGAGTTCCCCTCCTTCAAGAAAGCCAAATATACTTGATTTGGTATATTCAGATGTTTGTGGTCCTATGAAGACAAGAACACTTGGTGGCTCCCGTTACTTTGTGACCTTCATAGATGATTATTCAGGGAAGTTGTGGGTCTACACTTTAAAAAGCAAAGATCAAGTGTTGGAGACTTTTAAACAGTTCCAAGCCTTAGTTGAGAGACAGACTGGGAAGAAGCTCAGGTGCATCAGAACAGATAATGGGGGAGAGTATTGCGGTCCTTTTGATGATTATTGCAGACAACAGGGTATTCGACATCAAAAGACACCCCCGAAGACTCCTCAGTTGAATGGTTTAGCTGAAAGGATGAACAGGACACTAGTTAAAAGAGTTAGATGCTTACTTTCACAGACACGGTTGCCAAGATCCTTTTGGGGTGAGGCTTTGAGTACAGTTGTACATGTTCTTAATCTCACACCATGTGTTCCTCTTCAGTTCGATGTACCAGACAGAGTTTGGACTGGCAAGGATGTTTCCTATGATCACCTGCGTGTCTTTGGATGTAAAGCATTTGTTCATATTCCCAAAGATGAGAGGTCTAAGCTTGATATGAAGACCCGACAGTGTATTTTTCTAGGCTATGGCCTAGATGAGTTTGGCTACAGGTTATATGATCCAGTTGACAAGAAACTAGTGAGAAGCCGAGATGTTGTATTTATTGAAGATCAAACTATGATATTGAAAAAGCAGATAACACAATGTCCTGGCATAGTGATGGTTTAGTTGACTTGGATCCGGTTCCTCTGACAGATTTGCCTGCACAGGTTGAACATGATGTTCAGAATGACCAACAAGGTCTAGGTGATGCTGATGACCCCTTACAGATCGAGACAGGTGATGAGACTCTTGAGCAGTTGGCAACACCAGAGATACCACCAGATGTTCCAACCAGGAGGTCAGCTAGAGACCGACATCCTTCCACTTGGTATTCTACAGATGACTATATGTTAATGACTGATGGGGGAGAGCCCAAAGGTTATGCAGAAGCCATGGAAGATGATCATAAGCTGGAATGGGCTGATGCGATGCAAGATGAGATGCAATCATTGTATGACAATCACACTTTTGAGTTGGTGAAACTGCCTAAGGGCAAGAGAGCTTTAAAGAACAAGTGGGTGTACAGGGTGAAACATGATGAACTCACTTCACAACTACGATACAAAGCTAGACTAGTTGTTAAAGGGTTCAGTCAGAGAAAAGGCATTGATTTTGATGAGATCTTCTCACCAGTTGTAAAAATGTCTTCTATTCGTGTGGTTCTTGGCTTAGCTGCTAGTCTAGACTTAGAGATTGAGCAAATGGATGTGAAAACTGCCTTCCTTCATGGTGACTTGGAGGAAGAGATTTATATGGAACAACCAGAGGGTTTCAGGGTGAAAGGAAAAGAGGATTATGTATGTCAGCTAAAGAAAAGTCTTTATGGTCTGAAGCAAGCACCCAGGCAGTGGTATAAGAAGTTTGAGTCAGTTATGGAGGAGCAAGGCTACATGAAAACCACTTCTGACCATTGTGTATTTGTGTAGAAATTCTCTGATGATGATTTTATTATTTTACTGCTCTATGTTGATGACATGTTGATTGTTGGCAGGAATCCTTCGAGAATTGACAAATTGAAGAAGCAACTAAACAAGTTCTTTGTCATGAAAGACTTGGGGCCAACAAAGCAAATTCTTGGTATTCGAATCTATCGAAACAGAAAAGAGAAGAAATTGTACATGTCACAAGAGCAATACATTGAAAAAGTGCTTGAATGATTCAATATGAACAATGCTAAAGTGGTTAGCTCACCTCTTGCTACTCATTTTAAGTTAAGCACTAATCAAAGCCCTTCTACAAATAAACAGAAGGAAGATATGGAAAGAGTTCCATATGCCTCAGCTGTGGGAAGCTTAATGTATGCAATGGTCTGCACAAGGCCAGATATAGCTCATTCAGTTGGTGTGGTTAGCCGATTTCTTTCAAATCTAGGAAGAGAACATTGGAATGTAGTAAAGTGGATAATGAGATATCTTAGAGGCACTTCCAGGTTGATACTCAGTTTTGGAAATGGACAACAAATTTTAGTTGGCTACACTGATGCAGATATGGCAAGAGATGTGGATACCCGTAAGTCTACTTCGGGTTATTTGATCACTTTCTCAGGTGGAGCTGTTTCTTGGCAGGCAAGGTTGCAAAAATGTGTTGCACTCTCTACAACAGAGGCAGAGTTTATTGCGGCAACAGAAGCTTGTAAAGAGTTGCTATGGATGAAAAAGTTCTTGACGGAGCTTGGTTTCAAACAACAACAATATGTGTTGTTTTGTGATAACCAAAGTGCTATTCACTTGGCTAAGAACTCTACATTCCATTCGAGGTCGAAGCACATCGACGTGAGGTACCATTGGATAAGAGAAATTCTTAATCATAAGTTGGTAGAACTTGGAAAAATTCATACTGATGATAATGGTGCTGATATGTTGACAAAAGCTTTGGTAAGGGAGAAGCTTGAGACATGTTGCTCAATTGCCGGGATGGAGAATCACTCCACCTAGCCGGAAAGGGGGAGATTTGTTGGGTTGGGTTTCCATCCTATGTGGAGGAAGGCCCAAAACATTTAGTAAGCCCGTGTGAATTCCAAAGCCCACATGGAGAGGTTATGTTTTTTGAAAAGATCTGGCCCATAAGTTTAGGATTACAAACCCTTTCTCTGCACACAAAAAGAGACATAGAAGCTGCCACCAAAACAGAGAGGAGAGGAGAAATTCTGTCCAGCAGTGATCAAGCTATCCGATCAACAAGAATCTGTGGTCCGATTGAGCTGAAATTTGGTAGGCGAGTTCACAACTCAAGACTCTAAATTCCGGACGGTGGAGATCAGATTTGGAGTTTTCTACTGCTGGTTTTTGGCCCGTTAACAGTATCGTTTTTGGTGAGATTTTTCCTAAACTTTGTAGTTTGATCTTTGGTTGCCAAGGAAGCTTATTTGTAAGTTGTTCTTGATTGTTTGTCTCTAGTTCTATCTAAAGAGAACTTTTGTATACCCATTATTTGTTTATAGTGGAGATATTTGGTGGACTACGGTCCCGTGGTTTTTCCTTTCCACATCGGGAAGGTTTTCCACGTTAAAAATTTGCTGTCGTCTTGTTGTGTGATTGTTGGATCATCGCTTTCAGATTATTTTCAGAATATATTGTGCTTTATTAAATTACTTCCTAATAGGTTCACACAAAGAGGGAGAATAAACTACTTCCGCTATTTTTGTGCCGGATTCGGATATTTCGAATTGATTTTTTGTTTTGTTTTCTCCCAACAATGCGTTGGGTGGCAAGCTAGAATCTCTGTCTTATGAGGTTAAGTTTGAGGCTACTGCTGATGGCGGGAGCAAGGTAACAAGCACAACTTACTATCATGCTAAGGGTGACATTGAGCTCAAAGTAGAGGAACTGACCGCCGGAAAGGACAAGGCCATGGCCATGGGAATGTTCAAGGTTATCGAAGAATATCTGCTCGCAAACCCAAATGTCTATGCTTGAACCAAAATGTGTTCTTGTTTGAGTTAATTCTCTATTATGTGTTTCTGTGTCGTGTTGAAGGTGTGAACAAAGCTTCTTTTAAGTTGTTTGAAGAGTTATGTTCAGTTAGAGAATAAGAACCCAAACTCTTGTAATATAATGATACATATTATACATATGTAATGCGTCTTTTGTTTGCGTGTGTGCTTTTTAAAAGAAATAAAAAAATTTAAAAAAATATTGTGGTACTATTTAGTTTTGAGTATTCTATTCAAGAACATTTTTTGAATTGTTAATGCATATTTTCTTAAAATTTTTAGTTAATTTTTATACTTTTTATTTTTTTAGATGCACTTAAGCTACATGTACTTTAAAAGCAAAAAAAAAAAAAGAAGGTATATGTGAAGAAATCTTTAAAACATTCATTAAATACAAAAAGTAGTAGAATGTATTTTTTTTTTCAATTTTTTTATATTTAGTGAATTTTGAAAATATTTTTTTAAGTGCATCTAAATTAAGTGAATTTAAAAGTAAAAAAAAATTATTAAAATATTTAAAAAGTCTAAAAAATATAAATTTTAAAAATTCACAACAATATTTTTAAAAATTCCAAAACTAAATTCTTTTAATAAAATTGTTTTTTAATGACAAAAACAATAACATTATTTGGGAGGCCTTCTTATCTAAATCATTTTTTAAATAGGGAGGCCTACGATTTCCAGGATATTTTGGAAAGATAGTTAAAAGTTAATTTTTTTTATCTTTTTTTAAATATATAAAAAAATATAAAAAATAATGTGATCCAAAATGAATTAAAAATTGAGAAGTGACTTTTAATCCATGTCCAAAAGTGGACTTCAAAAGTCCATACATTCCTTGGAGATACATTTAGGGTGTGTTTGATTAGGGGGATTATGGTAGATTATTTACTGTGCGGATTGTTTATCCCATGGAAGAGAATGTCCATCGTTTCATGGGATTTTTAGTCAGTCGAACATAGAGTCCGGCCAGACCCCATATCCCTCATATAAGGAACTAAACAATCCTAGAGGGTGTGAGATTATTTCCATGGGATTGGTATCCCAAGGGACTAATGTATGAAATGTCCATTTTACCCTTATACTATTACTTAGTAAACAATTGAACAAAGGTAATATAGTCTTTTGAACATTTATAACTTATTTTTTTAGTGTTTTTAATTTAAAATTATATATTAAATTATAAATTAAATTTTAATTAAAAAAATAAATTAAAAATTATGACCTTACAAATTAAATTTTTTTAGTGTTGTTAAAAAATTAAATTTATATATTAAATAAAATTATTTTTTTAGTATTGTTAATTTAAAATTATATATTAGATAAAAAACCCCTTACTGATCTACACCATTCATGATGTGTGGGGTCCACATCATGAATGGTGTGGATCACAAAGGGGGTTGTGGGGGTCCTCCACAAAGGGGGTCTGACTCATTTTTCAATTATAAATTATAGATTATAAATTCAAATTATATACTAAATAAAAAATATAAATTATAAATTATAAGGGTAAAATAATCTTGTGAACATTTATTCTTATCCAATACATCCAATCAAATATTAAATTTACTAAAATAATTCTTTCTAGACATCTAATCCTATGGAAAAACAAATACGATATACACATCTAATCTAATCAAATAATCCGAGAGATTCACAGTCTTATAATTCAAATCCGATAAATTCTAATCCCCTAATTAGTCCGTCAAATCAAACACGCATGCAGTTTCAACTGACTTTTCTTCACTGATAACGACAGTCCATCGATGAGGCCATTCTTAGGATTTAAAAGTGACGTTGACTTTCTTCTCAGCCCCCTACACGGAATTTTTTTTTAAAATTCTTGATATTAAGATTTTTTTAAATAAAAAATATATAATATTTTTATAATAATTAAAGTCTCTCAATATTTCTATAAAAAAAATTTGACTCAAAAAAATTTTATCCGATTCAAAAAAATTTCATCCCAACACAGAGAAATTTCAATTTTTACTGAAAATTTTTGAAATTTCTCTTGGTCGAATTTTCTCTGTAAAAATGTTGAAGGACTTTAGCTAATAAAAATATATTTTGGACCTCTCCTACTATACAAAGCTGGAGAGAGAAGTTTTACTAAGGCTAAGTTTGGGAAGTCCCAAATAAGCCAAAAAGCTAAAAAGTTACTCAAAAAGTTAAAAAGTTAACACTATTCACCAAAAGTCAACAATTACGGCTGCACAACTCCCAATTCAAATTTTCCTCTACAAACCAATTTTTACAATTTTTTATTACACATTTTTCCATAAAAAGTCAAAAAGTTAACCCAAACATCCATATTTTCAATCTCAATTTTTTAGTCCAAAAAGACAAAAAGTGCACTTATTTAGTCTTCCCAAACTTGGCCTAATTTTACCAAAATACAAATGCTATGAACACAAATTTTTGAGACTATTAAAAAAAATATCTCAATATTTTAGTTTTTTAACAAAATAAAATTTTAATTTTATTAATTTAAAGTCTAATCTAATGAATTGTTTTCAATCTAAACGTTCACTAATTTTCTTGAAATAATGTAAAATTTTAAGGTTTATTTTATTTTAAGTGTCAAATCTTAGAGTGTTTTTTTTATGTATATAATTTTTTCCAATTTTTTTCACAAATAAGTGCAAAACATTTATTTTAACAGCATTGATCTTATATTGGATGGGCTCACATTTTCAGTAAGGAGTTGGATTTTTTCGGGTCTACAATCTTTTTTTTTTGTTATCAGAATTCGGGTCTACAATATGGATGGAAAGGAACTGGGAATGCTGCTGTCACAGCAGCTTCTCGTGGTGTTCTAGCGGAAGCTTTTTGGGAGCCTTTTTTTAATAATTTAAATCGTTCATATTATAAGATTTATTAAGTATATTATCTATGTTAAATATTAAATTAATCAAAAATCTATAATCTTATGATCAAATGCTAATTATTTTTAAAAAATTATAAAGATGAAGTTAATTGTTTATTTTTTAAAAAACAAATGTGCTCTCGTTATGGAGTTATAGATGTCTAATCAATTTGATTTTTTTGTATAGATGCGCTAATTAACGAACCTTATAGTATTAACAGTCTAAATTATCAAAAAAGACTTGAGAAAGACCTCCGCCAGAGCATCACAGGAAGCTGTTGTGAGTTGCTCACACAGCATCCCCAATTTCGGATTGAAGGGTGTTGTTCGGGTTCATGAGACTCGCCACAAGTTTCGTTTTGATAATGTAAACAATTTATTTTGTAAGATCTTTCATAACTATCATCTACAAAAAATAATTTAGAATGATCCAATAATCGTATATTATTTAATTTATCTCAATTGTATCAAAAAAAAAAATGAATGACAAATATTTTTAAAAATAGACAATCAATTCTTTGATGACATCTGCAATAAATTAAACAGACAATAATTATTAGATTAATTTAATTTTTTTGTAGATAATATATACAAAAAATTCTACAAAATGAACTATTTAAATATGAAATCAAGACTTATGATCTGACAAGTCTGAACAACACCTTTCAATAAAGATTATAAATTGAAAAGAAGCCAACCTTTTTAGAAATTATTCAACAATTTGAAATTATCTAATCACGCTTAAAATTAGTAGAAGTCATATATAAAAAAATTAAAATCCAGGTGATAAGATTAAAAAGAAAAATATATCCTAATCTTGGAAGTTATCAAAATCGTCGACATTGCCACCTCAATCTTTGTTTTAAAATTGACTTATTATAAAACGTTATCCTTTTTCTTTTTTTTTTCTCAATGCTACAAAATTTCAGTAGGCCCCCTTCTGTCTGATCGATTATCAATGTGTCAAGGGGCCATAAAGCTATTATTCTACATTGGACGGCTATGGCTATTCAAATGTGGAGTGCTAAAAGAATTATAATCTGCCAAAGCATGCCTGTAATCCCAGTCTATGTAATACCCATGTCTTAAAAGTGTGTTTTATGATTTTTTTTTTTTTTTTTTTAAAAAAAAAAATTGATAAAAGTTAAATCTAATTTTGTGCGTCAAATATTTATTAATTCAGAAAGTGAGTGGATGCTCTAATAACGTAGTTAAAGGGTATGTGTAATAATTACAGAATTTACTTAAATATAAATGTTGAAAAAGAAAATTTACCAATAAATTCTATCTTGAGAAATGATAATTCGTTTAATCGTAAAGATTTTTTTATAGACCAATTAGTCTCATTAATTTTGAAAATGTAGATTTAATATATTATTTAGAATTTAGATTTATTTCTATTATGTTTCCTTTTTCGTTTTTTTCTTTTGTGCTAGAAATGTAAGATACACAACTTATAAGAATCAAATTTGAAATGAATTTTTATATGAGAATTTTTTTTATGTGAAATAGCCTGAAATGTGAGATTCTTTAAACATTTCAAAAGGAGTACAAAAATGACTTGAAATATAAGATTCTTCAAACATTTCAGAAGGACGTAGAATTCTTCAAACATTTTAAAAAGAGTACAAAATAACTCCTTAATAAATTTTGGATAAATGCATAATTTCAAACTGTAACACTCCGATGTAATACTCCAAAGAAACTCCTTAGTGTACTTTTTCCAAATATAACACTCTAATATAACACTCCAAAAAAACTCTTTAGTGTAATAATCTAAAAAAATTTCTTAATGTATTTTTTTCAAATGTAACACTCCAATATAATACTTTAAAAAAATTCATTAGCATAACACTCCAATTTAACACATAAAAAAAAACTCCTTAGTGTACATTTTTCAAACATAACACTTCAAAAAAACTCTTTAGCATAACACTCCAATGGAACATACAAAAAAATTCCTTATTGTACTTTTCCTAAACGTAACACTCTAATATAACATTCTAAAAAAACTCCTTAACGTAGCACTCCAGTCTTAGATTGGAGTGTTACGTTTGCGATTACATTGATTGCAGTGTTACGTTTGAAAAAAAGTACATTAAGGAGTTTTTTTTTTTTTTTTGTGTTACATTTGAGTATTATGTTTGGGAAAAGTATACTAAAAATTTTTCTAAGGTAGTATTATATTGTTACGTTTGGAAAAAAGTATACTAAGAGATTTTTTAGTGTATGCGTTATTGAAATATTATATTGGAGTATTACGTTATTCGAGTATTACATTGAATTGTTACATTGTTATTCGTAATGTGAAATTTGTTCCAGAATGAGAGAAAATTCAAAACTTCTATAGTGCGGATTGTCTACATGTGTAACTTCACATTTAGAGAAACTCACTTTTATCTTCCAAAAATTAAATCCAAACGGGTAGGTGACTACCTTTTTGTATAATTTATACTTTAATGAGACTTTTGGGTTCATTAAAAAAAAAAGAAAAAGAAATGACTAAATAGTTTGTAAAATCACATTTAAGGTTTTATTCAGTGTCTTTGGTTTCAGTTTTCTGAATTCAGTTTTTTAAAAATTGAGTTTTTTTATTTTCGTATTTTTTTATTTTTAGTGAATATTTTTAAAATTTTAAATATTTTTTTTACTTTTTTAGATGCACCTTACTTAGATGTATCTAAAAAGTACAAAAATTGTAAAAAAATATTTTAAAAAATTAATAAATACATAAAAATATAAAAAAATTACTGAATTCTCTTTTTTTTTTTTTGTATTTTTGGTATTCAGTGAATTTTTAAAAGGTTGTTTTCATAATTTTTTTACTTTTTAGGTATATTTATGTTAGGTATGTCTAAAAATTAAAAAAAAATTACTTAAAATATTAAAAAAATTCATTGAAAATATTAAAATACGAAAAATAAAAAAATAAAATTTTCTAAAAATTATTTTCTGAAAACTGCAACCAAACAAGTTGATGATGGGTGTTTTACCTCAAAAAAATTTAGTTAAAAAAAAAATTATGGGGCCAGCCTCTCTTTCTACAGTTAGCAACTTTTATAATGCTCACACGATACATTTTCTATATTTTTTTTTGTGTTATGTTTTTGTGAATTTGACGTTATTGATCTTGAAATGATGGCTCGTCTATTACTATTCTGAACTTGGAATCTGTGAAACGGACCTCCAACGCTAAAAATTCGAGGCATTCTAGAACTTGACGGCGGGCGGGCGCTGAATAGATATGTGAACTGGAGAATAATTGAGACAGCTATTATTATTATTATTATTATTATTATGATGGAACATTTTTGATAAATTCAATTTTTAAGAGTTTTATTCCATTTAATTCATATTTTTTTTTTTGACTATTTTATTAAGTCCTATTTGAGATAAGAAGACCAAAATATATTTTTCATCTACTTATATTCTATTTAGTTCACATTATTTTCTTATGTTTCAATAAATCTTATGAGTGACATAATTACCAAAGTACCTCTAATTTATCAATGAAAATCCCTTATTATTATTCTACAATTGATGGCTTTGGCTGGCTATTCAATTATATTATATGGAACTACTTACAATTAAGAAATATTTGTACTCTTTCCAAAAGATGCCCAATCCAAGTCTATATAATAGTACCCATTGTCTTAATTCACTTCTTCATATCCACAATCAACTCATTCTCATTTCATACACCTCTCTATTCCTTCTTTCCTTTCTTCCAATAGCCAAAAAAGAAAAATGGGTGTCACCACTTATACCCAAGAGTTCACTACCTCAGTAGCACCCAATAGGATGTTCAAGGCTTTGATCCTCGACTCCCACAATCTCATCCCCAAGCTTCTCCCCCAATCCATCAAGAGCATTGAGTACGTTGAAGGCGATGGCAGTGCTGGAAGCATTAAGCAAACCAACTTCCATGAAGGTATATATATAGCTTTATATATATATATATAGGGCCGGCCCTGGCCTAGGGCCAGTAAGGCCTGTGCCTTATGCCCCAAAATTTTGGCCTAAAAATAGGGCTCAAAATTTAGTAAAATGTTATAGGCCCCATGTTTTTTATTTTTATTCTTTTAGGAACAATTTAAAAGGCCCCAAAATATTTTATTGGGTCCATGTATAGTTTAGTCCATATTTATTTATAAATGTAGTTTGGCCCATATATATTAAAATGAAAATATATATTAAAAAAAAAAGTGTTTGGGCCCAAGAAGAACAATACATACAATATATGGGTCCTAAATATATATATATAGGGCCGGCCCTGGCCTAGGGCCAGTAAGGCCTGTGCCTTATGCCCCAAAATTTTGGCCTAAAAATAGGGCTCAAAATTTAGTAAAATGTTATAGGCCCCATGTTTTTTATTTTTATTCTTTTAGGAACAATTTAAAAGGCCCCAAAATATTTTATTGGGTCCATGTATAGTTTAGTCCATATTTATTTATAAGTGTAGTTTGGCCCATATATATTAAAATGAAAATATATATTAAAAAAAAAAAGTGTTTGGGCCCAAGAAGAACAATACATACAATATATGGGTCCTAAATTTTTATTTTTTATTTTTTTTTACCTTCTTTATCTATTAGATTTTAGTGCAATAAATAATTTTGTCCTAATTTTTTTACCTAGGTCTTTATCAATTTTAATTGAATAATTTTTTTTCCCTAATTTTGTTTCATTAAATTGTTTTATTTATAATTTTAATGATTATATGTGCAAATAAATTTTTTTATGGCTACAAACAAATAAAAAAGTTCTAACTTACCGTTTTATCCATGAACTTTTTTTTTTTTTTCAATGTAAGAGAGGCCTTCATTTCTGAAATTCGCCTTAGGCCCTCTAAACCTCAGGGCCGACCCTGTATATATATTTCAATTTAAACCCTTTTGCTATAATCGTTTTTATATTATTTTGCTAATAACAATGCTTGTTTTATTTGTGCTATGATAGGGAGTCACATGAAGTGCTTGAAGCACAAGATCGATTTACTTGATGTGGAGAACTATGAGTGCAAGTACACTTTGATTGAAGGTGATGCATTGAGCGGCAAGCTTGAATCTCTCTCTTATGAGGTCAAGTTTGAGACTATTGATGGCGGGAGTAAGGTGACAAGCACAAGCTACTATCACGCCAAAGGCGACATTGAACTCACCGAAGAGGAAATGGCAGGTGGAAAAGACAAGGCCATGGGGATGTTCAAGGTTGTTGAAGAATACCTGATCGCAAACCCAAATATCTATGCTTAAACCAAAATTTGTTATTGTCGTTGAGTCACTTTTTTTATTATCTGTTCCTCTGTTATGTATTTGAAGGTGTGTGAATTTTTGTTTTGTTTTGTTTTATTTTGTTTTTTCTTTTTAAGTTGTTTGAAAAGCTACCTATAGCTTGAGAATAATGTTGCAAGACTGTTGCTTCAATGTTGGATGTGGATTATAGAATTGATTTTTTTTTTTTTTCTTCCTAGATATTCTTCATGGCTATTACAGTGAAATGAACCTAATTACATTGGTTTTGTGAACAATATTAATGGACCACAAATCAATATTCATTCGAAATAGATAACAAAAACAAAATCTGTTTGGGTTATAGTCCTTGATCGAGTCGTTTGCATTCCGGTCCAGGAAACTCATTGCATCAAGTATGGTAAATTGGTAATTTGTTGTTGGAATTTTTAACACGATTAAATGTTCAAGTCTTCATGATATTTGTAAATTATCTCTAATAGATTGGCAAAAAAAGAAAAAAAAAACAAATAAACTAGACAATAAGGAGCAACTTTGTTTATTAGTGTATCATATTGCAATAAAGACTGATAAATCACAATACTAGTAAATAATAGTATATCTTTGTTTATTATAATTTATCACAATGTTTAAAAAAACAGGCCAAACCGGTCAGTTCAACCGGTAGAACCGATGACCAAACCTAGTTCCGGTCCGAATGATCCACAGAAATTGGCCTAGGCCAAAAACTGGCCTTGTTGGAACCAAGAAAACCAGTGGTTCAACCGATAAAATCAGCGAATCGATCCTAATTGCCGACCGACCTGGCAGTTGAATTTTTTTTTTCCATTTCTTCTTCTTTTCTTCCTTTCTTATATATTTATATATGTGTATATATATATATATCAAATTTTTGACTAAAAACTCTTATTTTAAGAGTCTCCTCTCTCATGAAGAAGAGTCTCATTAGAAACATAAAGAAATTATGAAAGTCTATTCATATTTATAGGAAGAGATTGTTCAAAGAGAATCTAAAAATTCAATGTGGGATTCAATCAAATTGTTTGAATCATATTTGATTGAAGGGAGAGTTGAAAATTTCATTTTGTTTCCAAAATTAAATTTAGCATTCAATCAATTTGTTTGGAGGGAATATTAAATTTTTTTAATTTCTTTAAAACTATTGACTTTTTTTTTCTTTTTTTGAGTAATGGGGTCCCTAGCATTTTTTTTTTATTATCAATTATGACTTTATTAAATATTATTAGTAAATACTATGTAACATTTTTTTTATTATTTCAATACTTATATATATTTTTATTTATTTATAATTTATAATTATATTTTTAAATTATATAAAATTAATTATGATATCATTGTTCGACCGCTTCGACCCGATGATTGAACTAATGATCTGTATACTCAATTTCTTTTTCGGTTTGCTCACCGTTTGATTTTTAAAATATTTATTTATTGTTTATAAAATAAATAAATAAAAACTCAAAAAAAATTCAAAAAAAATATAAGAGAAATACAATTTACATACACAAAGGAAATATTAAAGTTCTACAATTTCTACCGAAGTGAAATGTTTGTAGTCAACAAATTGACCAATTGGTTAGAAAGCAACTTTTTTTTCTAGTCATTTTGTGCTTTTTCTTAAAACTAAAATAAAATAAAATAAAATATTATGATATTACATGGTTGAAATCACATTTCATAGTGCAACTTCTTTAGAAGAGATATTTTATTAATTAAAGCAGCCCCATTGATGTGACAATAATGCTAACATATTTGAAAAGCCATCATAATCAATCTCTCACAATTGACTTTTCTCCAAAAACAACAAACTGTAAGATAGAAATGACAACGAGTCGAGGCGAGATCAGGATTACACTTTTCATTTTTGATCTCCGAATGTAAAAGACTTTATGTCTCTGCCCCGATCTCCAGTGAGAAACCCATCACCCCTCGGCCCAACCCTTTAACGGGATCGATTTCTTCAATCCCGAAAAATCTCTTGCACTTTTTTTTTTTTAGGCTGAGGGAAGATAGATAAAAGATAAATTTACAAGCAATATGTAAATTATTGATTTTTTTGGATGTGATATTTTTGAGGGAAATCACAAGGAAACAGTAAGTTACAAACAAACAATAAATTACAACTGATCTGTTTCCTTTTAACAAGCAATCTGTAAATCACATCAATCTGTAAAGTACAAGCAAATCACAACATATGAAGGATATATCAGAATCCGAAACAAAATCAAGCAAAGCAATTTGTTTCCTTTTAACTTGTACATTTCCTTGTAAATTACATCAATCTGTAAATGAAGGATATATCAAAAAATCACATCAATCTGTAAATTACAAGCAAATCGCAATCAATCGGTAAGTTACAAGCAAATCGCAACATATATACCATAAAAATCAAATGGTATCTACAAAAAGGGATGAAGAAGAGTGAGATCAGAGAGAAAGAGAGAGAGACACCTTGTTCACCAGCGGCGACGCCTTGTTCTAGCTTCGATCGTTGTGCAGATCACTACAACAAAAAACACATTTGGCGACCCAAAAATTTGTCGCCAAAAGTACAAATTCAGTCGCCAAAAGAATCGGCGACAAATATACAACTTGTCGCCAAAGGCCTGTCACTAAAAGTATTGGCGACGAAATCAGAAATTGTCACCGTATGTAGACATTTAGCGACGAGCAAAATTGGTCACCAAAAATCATATATTTTGTCGTTATAAATTACAATTTGTTGCTAAAAGGTTAAAATTTGGATAGGCTATGTAGTTTTAGCGGCAAATAAATGCGTCGCCAAAAGTACTATTTAACGACAAAATTAATTTGGTCACTAAAACTCACGTTTTTAGCGACGAGTAAGTTTTGGTTGCTAAACGTTCTTGGAATAACCACTAACTTTTAGCGACAAAAACAATATGTTGTCGCCAAATATATTAACAGCGACCAAAATACCACCTGTTACTAAAAATTCATTACACAAATTTTGATTTTAATAATTTTCCTGTTCAAAATAATCCAAAACACCTGTTTTCCTGTGCACAATATATACACAAATGTAATGTAAATAATATGCAACCTGTTGCAAGACATTCATACTAATTCAAATTAATAATTATGAAAAATTCCAATGAACATAATTACAATTCTCTGACAATCTAAAACATGCATAACAAAGTAATTACAAACTACTTAATATCAAACCCATAAATACATTCCAAATCCTATTTCAAAATATTTTCAAAATTACAACCAAATATTTTGATGTTAAACATCTAACCAACAAGTCATTTACTAAAATCCTATGTCAAAATATTTGCAAAAACACAACACCAAATATTTTGATGCTAAACATTTAATCCATAAATCATTTACCAAAATCCTATGTCAAAATATTTTCAAAAACACAAAATCAAATCTTCTGATGCAGCCTGAACTTATTTCCACCATTGCCAATCTGTCACATGAAAAAAAGAAAAAACAATATTAGATTGACAAAAAAAAAAAAAAAAAACCTCGATATGAACTTCACAATTTTGATTTAATTTGTAACGGGAAGTTCAATCGGGTGCTGTTTGCTCATACAACTCTATTTAGGCTTGAACAAGCTACCCGTGCCAAGTTTTGGTGGTTTCGGTGGTCATTTTGCAATTTTGGCCCCCGAACGGGCCTTTTTAGTCTTGTGTTTTACAATTTTCCTTCTAATTTTCTAACCGGAAATCCAATCGAGGTCCCATTTCTTCTTACAAGTCTATTTAGGTTTGAACAAGCTGTCCGTGCCAAGTTTTGGTGGTTTCGGTTGTCATTTCGCAATTTCGGCTCCTAAACGGGCTTTTTAAGTCTTGTGTTTTACAATTTTCCTTCTAATTTTCTAACCGGAGATCCAATAGAGGTCCCGTTTGTTCCTACAAGTCTATTTAGGCTTGAAAAGGCTGTCTGTGCCAAGGTTTGGTTCGGCCCCCGAACGGGCCTTTTAAGTCTTGTGTTTTACATTTTTCCTTCTAATTATTTAACCAGAAATCCAATCGAGGTCCCGTTTGTTCCTACTAGTCTATTTAGGCTTGAACAAGTTGTCCGTGCCAAGTTTCGGTGGTTTCGGTGGTCATTTCGCAATTTCAACCCCCGAACGGGCCTTTTAAGTCTTGTGTCTTACAATTTTCCTTCTAATTTTCTAACCGGAGATCCAATTGAGGTCCCGTTTGTTCCTACAAGTCTACTTAGGCTTGAACAAGCTGTCCGTGCCAAGTTTCGGTGGTCTCGGTAGTCATTTCAAAATTTTGGCACCCGAATGGGCCTTTTAAGTCTTGTATTTTACATTTTTCCTTCTAATTTTTTAACCGAAAATCCAATCGAAGTCCCGTTTATTCCTACAAGTCTATTTGGGGTTGAAAAATCCGTCCATGCCAAGTTTTGGTGGTTCCGGTGGTCATTTCGCAATTTCGGCCCCCGAACGGGCCTTTTAAGTATTGTGTTTTACAATTTTCCTTCTAATTTTCTAACTGGAGATCCAATCGAGGTCCCGTTTGTTCCTACAAGTCTATTTAGGATTGAACAAGCTTTCCGTGCCAAGTTTCGGTGGTTTTAGTGGTCATTTCGCAATTTCGGCCCCCGAACAGGCCTTTTAAGTCTTGTATTTTACAATCGAGGTCCCGTTTGTTCCTACAAGTCTATTTAAGCTTGAACAAGCTGTCCGTGCCAAGTTTCGGTAGTTTCGGTGGTCATTTCACAATTTCGGCCCCTGAACGGGCCTTTTAAGTCAATGTGGTTACTTTTGTGTACTATGCATTTATGTTCTTTCATGTCACAATTGATGCTCCAACTAAAACTCTTGGGAATTTTTTTTTTAATTAAAAAAAAGAAAAAAAAAACGATCAAACTATATGGATAACATTTCAGAAAATATTCTATGCTCCTCAACAAGCTTTTGGATCTGAAAGGCTCTCTTCTTAACAGCCGCTTGAGTGTTCCCATCAGTTACTATCAATGTAGAATCCTTAGTTATCACCACCTTGGTAGCAGTACCCAATACCTCCTTTCCAGCCTTCTCTAGGGTCAAACCCATGTCATCCCTAATTACAGTTCCTGCGAGACATGAGCTCATAACATGAATATGTGAGGAATTTTAACAAATATACCCACAATTTGACCAAATTTACCTTGTTATGGATGCAAAGTCAATTTTAGGATTTAAAACTAACTAAATTCAAATTTTCTAGCCACTTTTCCCATGATATCATCATTATCAACACCTCAATCATCATTATAGTCAGTCCTAGTTTGTGCCTTCAGATAATATAAAACACCAACTAGTGTATATTAATGTATTTCTGCTATAATAATGTTCTGTTTTGATTTATTATAGACATTATTTACTTCAAATACACAAATTGTGGTGTATTTTAGTGGTTAATCAACTACCTCCAGTCGAGATAGCGATGTCATCTAAGTAGTGGTTAATCAACTACCTCCAGTCAAGATAGCGATGTCATCAACTACCTTTGGGTTTGTGATTTTTCTATCGACCAGAAATAACTGCAACCAAAGCACCCTATGAATACTCCCCGCGGGACAATGCTGCAAATGCTATGCTTGACAAAGTGTTAACAGCCCTACCTGGCAATTGTGGAACTCCACTATCATCTTCCGTCTATCAGTAACAAAATAAGGGGACAAGTATCCACGATCAAATTGCATTTCGTCTACAATCTGTAAAGCATTCTCTGCATAATTCCCTTTCTCAATTGTTACTACTCCCTTCATTCCCACTTGTCGAAGAGCATCAGAAATCATGTTTCCTACTGCATAATCGTTCCCTGCGCTTACAGCAGCAACATCTGCAAGCTCGTGGTCCTCAACCTGCAATATAGTCAATATTTTCAGTTGATTTTGGCAAGCACGAGTGCATGAACTACTGAGTAATGCTCCATTTATTTCGGCAGAATACATTTTTCAACAAAAAAAAAATTCTACAGAAACTTTTTAGGACATAGGTGGTGGGGTGGCAGTGGTGGTGGAGTTGTTAATGTGGTGACATTGATAACTCTTTAGTCCAGAAAACGTTTTTCACCTTCTAAAAGTGGAAAACATTTTCCGCATTTTTTGGCATTTGGTACAATGAAAAATCAAAGTTCAAAGAAAATGTTTTCCATTGTCAATGAAAAACAAGCCCAAGTCCCGCCTAAACAAACGGAGCATAAATGTCTACTTATATTTTGCTTTGCCATAATTCTCTTTCTACCCAATTCATTAGTCTTTCCCAGGGAACTAAAAGAAGAATGGAATTACTGTATACCTCTCTGGACATCTGTTTGAGCTCAGAAACAAGGGCCTTTGCAGTTTTCTCGATTCCTTGGGATAGCTGAATGGGATTCATGCCTGCTGCAATAACCTAGAGAATAGAAATCTTTGAGAAATAGCAGATAACACAAAGCTTGTGTGGAGAGAAATAGCAACATTCATGTCTTTTAAAACTTCCAGAAACAGCCATACAAACCGTATAATTGAAAAAAAATAAAACAAATAAAATAAAAGATAGAAAGAGTAACTTGGAAATGCAACTGACACTAATAATCTAACATATAGCCTGCATTTCAACAACAATTTGTATGAAAAACAAGTAATTTTATTGTTCTAATGGGAGAGATATACAGCTCATAATATAATGGCATCCCAGTCATACCTTCACACCTACAGAGATTAGGCCTTGAGCGAGCACTATTGACGTTGTCGAACCATCACCAGCAATATCATTTGTCTTAGCTCCAGCCTGTCTCACTAATTTCACTCCAACATTTTCCAAAGGGTCTTCCGGCTCTATCTGATTAATTAAGGCAAATTAAAGCCATTTAAAAGGAGAAGGCTTGATGCGGCGTTACTTTCTTCTCATGTGGTTGAGGATTTCTAAACCCATGGCTTTTAAATATTTCTAACACCATCAAAGCATGTGTTACTGCTCTTCTTAAGTGTAAACCACACAGTTCAAATAAGATGGAGAACCTATTCATAAATTTTAATGAAAACATTAAGATGAATACAAAGTTTTTTCCTGTTATGTAAAATAAAAATAATTTTCATAGATTTGAACTCACATCGGAAAACATGACAAAAAGTAAGCTTTTTGGCACAATTTTGAATTAACATTATATATAAGCTATATGTAAAAAAACTCAAATAACTCAAATAGCAAGCTCGATATATACTATCTTGGTCTCTTATATTAGAACAAGTTTTCTTTAGCATTTCTTCGAACATATTCTGGGGTTGATCCAGGCCCCCAACAGAAGCAAAATACCAAGAACCCAAAAGTTTCCTTTACAAACTTAAAGATAACTTTGAAATACCAAAGTTTGAGCTGAAATTAATCAAAAATTTTAATACTTGAGAACTTACAAATATTAAAGGTAACATATAAGGGTTTTCCTACAAATGAAGGGGAAGTTTAGTATAAATTGAAAAACAAGCAGGCTATAAAACACACCATCAATCTTCATTGTTCAAAAGCTAACACCACTCATAATTGGAATGGCAACTAATTCTTTGTCATATGTAGAAGTTAGAACCACTATCTTCAAGATTTGAATCACCAAAAGTCCAATAATAATTAAAAACTATAATCAATTTTTACACCAGGGATAAAGAGAAATGAAGGGCAATCCATGCCTGCAAAATTATGAGTTACCTCTTTGAGAATAGTTTCACCATCATTGACAATCTTTGTAGGTCCATACTTGTTTTGCAACACCACATTCCTACCCTTTGGACCCAATGTCACTCCCACCAACTCTGCCACCAAGTCCACCCCTGCCTACACCAAACAAAACCAAAACAAACTAATCATTACCACACACTAACCACATTGATCGCAATTTCCAGTTACAACTCAACGATTCATTAGGGTTACGACACAACGTGGTTGAATAATAACATCAAACACATTGCATACGCATTACAAATTGGGTCTGGCTTATGTTGACAAGACAAAATGCCAAAATATTTATATCCCAATACACTAGTAGTGACTAAAAGAAACCAGCTCACAATTTAGATTCAGAGCCTGAAACTATTATACCCTCCTAAACCAAATGATCCATACCTAAAATTATAATCAGTCCTCAAAAAATACAAAATCAGTTCCAAAATCAGTCCGAAATTCAGAATATACTAGTCCTGAAAATCAATTCCAAAATCAGTCCAAAAATTAGAATATATTAGTCCGAAAATCACAATATCAGTCCGAAAAAT